AAAAAATTTCTCAAATAAATATAAATAAAATTTCAGTGATGAATGGTTGTGAAAATTAATTAAATAAAAATGACCGCTATTTCTTAATCGAAACAAGAAATTTCCCAATTTATTTCCTTTCCTTCTATCCCTTTCCCTGTTTCAAAAAGAAAGGTGCTTATAAAATGCTTAACTACTTAAAACTTATAAAATTAGCAAGAATACTTACAAAAACAAGCATATTATTCAGTCCTACAGCTATAGTAACAACAACAACAACAACAACAACAACAACAACAACAACAACAACAACAACAACAACAACAACAACAACAGCAACACCGTTCCGTTATAAAAACTGCTCTAACAGTCTCATCACAGCAGCAAAGACAACATCTCGAGTCCAACAGCTTGGCATTACCACCATCAGCGGGAACAGTACAACGTTATTTGTCTACCGGAAATCCGATAGACACGACTCTGGAATGGTGTCCAACTACAGAGTACTATAACAGTGCTCCTGAAGAAGTTGGAGAAACCTGTGCAGCACGGCTGATGAATATGGCGCAACGAGCGCAGCAACAATTGGAGCAAAAACGATTTCATTCTCCGCTTGCTACTTCACCAGTTAAGGAAGTTACTGATGCACTGATGTTGCTACAGGAAACGACTTCATTTTAACTAATTTTTAGCGAAATTTAATTTTGAATTTGAAAGTCAAAAACCATTCTCAAGTATCATTTATTCCCAATAACTGATATCTTTGCTATTATTCGATTGTTTTCATCCAATGTGCAGTTATTTTCAGTCAACAGACTTATTAAAGGAAATAAGCAACTTTAGTGGAAATACCTGAGTTTTGAATACTTCGGGTAGATTTCAATTTTGTTGCGGTTAATTCCTAAAAACTTTCCGATAAGAAAGACCAAAATACCTATTGATGTAAATCTTGAAAATACAGGTAACCGAGATAAGAATTACGAAATTGTTTTGCTACTTTCTACTATTTCAAGACGCTAGGCTGTTTGCTAATTAGCATTGTTACGGAAACCCTCGTTTTTTATCCCTTATTTTCTTCCTAGCTAACCATAGCCAAACATTGTAAGCTATAGTAACTTGGACTGAAAGAGACACTTATGCCAATTCATTGAAAAATGAACAATCCGGACTTTATTTTTTTATTTCAGATTTACTTACATTTAAAATGCGCGTAATTCTCACACCGACGTCTTTCTGGTTCTGGAACGATTGTGTATTTGTTGTCCGTTTCTTTTTTCCCTCCTGTAATTTGAAATATCGTTCCAGTTTTTCATCTCTTCCTCTCCCTCTTATTCTTTTTGGCACTCTATTCCTGGTTGTAGTTATATATATGATGCTATACCTTTTGACTTGAAAGTCATGAGAAATAAGAAATGCGATCCCCCAAAAACTGAGAAAACGTCTGGGGGACAGTTACAGCACACCTCTAATATCGAGCTTAATTAACTACCATGCAGTAAATTATTTGAATACTTCAAATTGAAAGAATGTGGCTTTTCCGGTAAATTTTCCTTTCATTTCAATCATTAAAATCTGTTGTAGTTTGTACTGGTGTGTATCGCCTCATTTATTACTGTGATTTTTATAGTTCTCAATCTTTTTTCTGGTATTGTAAAACAACTGCTGCCAGCGAAATGCAAGTACCGTTGCCTCAAAGTGACTTTATTTATATGCTGCCAATACTAAGTTCTTTCATATTTTCTATTGTCAACGCTATTTATTGAGTATCCAAGTGATTCGTGAATATTACGTTAAGCGAATATTGCTTCTTTTTGGTGGGAAAATCTTATCATGAAATTATAGCAGGCACGAGGAATATGCAAGATCCACAAAGCATGGTTTTGCTCTATACCTTAAACTATCGATTATAAATACAGTTAATTGTTTCGGCCTTGTGTCAAATTTCAGATATTCCTAAAATAAGGGGAACAAGAGTGTGATACACTAATGCTTATTATATAACACAATGAAGTTCATAAAGGTAAGGAGTAAAATACTGATCATTAAGAAAGGGGCTACTAAGAACTCAAGACAAGGAACAAAAAAAGATATGAAAAGTCTCTCCTTATCTCCTAACAAATTACAACAAAAAAAAACGCATAAATGACAGTTGAAACTAGACCCATCGATTTATATTTTTCTTCTTTCAACATTTTCTGAAGAAAGAAAAGTATATAAGAAAAAAACAACAAAGTTATTATAGTTTTCTCCCGCATCATTTTAAATTGGAAGTTACCACCATCTCGGGAACTCCTGATGGGCTCGGGTTGACGAAAAAGAAAGCAAGAAACAGAAAGTTACTAAATTTAATGACCAAATAAAATTAAAATGAAATAAATCTGGCAATATAACCAAAATGGAAGACACAACGCAATCACATCAGCTAATAGTTCACAATTAATAATTTGGCTCATCTATTAAAAAATAATGAGATACTTGAGTTCATTAAAAAAAAATCAAAATCATATCATCTCCTCGGTGCAGTTCGACCGCGACTTTTCATCGATTTCATCGATGCACTAGCGCCGCGTTTTTGTCGCACATTGATATGTCGCCGTTGAATAGGCTGCTCAACACTATATGCATGATTCAAATTTACCAAATGTGAAATGGATTTGTCGCAAAAAATACAACCTCTATACGTGGTTCTTTCCTCCGGCAAGGGTGACCTATCCTGCAAACAGTATGGATAGGAGAGTTTTCCGAAGCCACTGCATAAGAAAAACAGAAATCACTTACAAAAATAGTTCCTGCTGTAAAATCTGCGTTTTGAAAAAAAAGCTAATTATTTTTTCAATAAATATAACCACAATAAAATATGACCGCAATTTAATACAACAAATATAACCACAATTTTTGTGTTAAAGCTTTTTAAATACGAATCCAGAATTTCTTTTTTTCTCGACTTGGAATTAATTGATTATAAATTTCATAATATATAATTAATTGCAAATTTCATAATATGACAAGTGCTATACACAAGATTACCTTATATTCAACAAAAAACAGCTGTGCACCACAACTCATGCACTGCTTGGCAAGAATTTTAACGCGCAGTGCACCTTCAAAAACAGCGACAACAGCGGAACACCTGTTACAAGAAATGCGCCATTTTGGTGCAGATTGCGGATCTAATACTAATACTCCATGACCAGCATCACACTGACGTGGACACTGCACCACTCCCAACGTTCTAGAAATCAGAGTAACCAACTTCTAGAAGTTTCAACTTTCATGTGATTTAGGCCTGGAAACTGCAACAAATGCAATATTATTTCCTATTTACTATGCATTATGTAACTAACAACTGTTCTGACTTACAGAAACGAATGAGGACACACAGGGTTAGAACATTCGTGACATCCTGAACCTTTTCTCATCCCCTCAAATGGCGGATTGTTATAACAATAAGGACAAAGTGCATATGACATCGATAATTTCCCTGCAAGTACAACAAATATTATTCAGACAAATATGCCCTTTTCGCCACGTAAAGTTTTATGCACTAATGAACACTAATCCCTGTTCATCACTATTAAAATTACTATTCAGATGTCCATTTTCTTTTAAGCTTCCATTAATGACTTGAAACAAATAATGGCATAATATGTCATTCTTAACATCAGTTATTTAGAAAATTCATTCAAGTTTTTTAAAAAAATGGTTCACCTCCAGGACCTTGCCAGTAAATCAAGTCAAAATCATCCAGAGGGCACTTGTTTTCACCATGAAGCCTTAATAGCCCATCTTTAGCAGAAGGCAATGAATACGTATCCTAAAATCATGTAGAAAGTAATACCACTTCTTTCATCGAGTCCCGCTAATGTTAACTGACATTTTTACTTGATTACCTGACAGTTTGGGCAATGCAAACGTTGTGGTTTGGAAGCAACAAGTTTCATAAAACGTCGACATTTTCCACACCTGCTAAATGGTTTTCCCGAAGCAGCAAGTGATGTGAATGAATCTAAATAAATACACGAAGAATTTCGACTTAAATTCTAAAATCCCCTAATTTGTATTATGAATGTGAAAATAAGAATATTGATTCTATCATTTTTTAAACATAAACTGTACTGCATTAGCAGTTTTAGATTCACGTTTGCAAATGATGATAGACATTCTTTTTACCTTCGAAAAGAGAATCCACAAGACCAATATTTTCTACAAAGTAGATAAATTTAAGGCGAAAATTCTCAAGCACATGATTTTTGACCTGAAAATATGCATATGAAATATGAATATGGTGAACAAACTCAGTGACAAAGTTTTATTAGTTATTTTATTCTAAAATGTGACACTTAGTCCAACAAAATGTATGTGAATGTCAAAAACCATAGCTCCCCAGTTATAGTTTTTGAGACATATGTAATGCAATGAAATCTAAATTTGCGGCTATTTCAAGTTCCAAGAGCAATTTTTGCGCAAATATTCTTTTAAATAGAATATTCGGAGAGTTGTTACTGTTTTAAAATGATTAAATCAAAATATTGGAATTTTGGAACCAAAAAATTTAGTAGGTTGAAGCTGTTCAGTGACAGGAAGAAATCAAGGGTAACGCAAGGCATTCCGCAATAGATGAAAAACAGAAGATATTATATGGTACGTATTCGTCTCACTACAAAGTTCTATCGATCGTTAAGGACTGACGCTCAAGAGACACTGAATCTTGCCAGCAATCAATACCCTACGATTGTGCAACTGGATATGACTTCTTTTCATCTCCCCATGTTACATCAGTTGCTTTGACCCTTTAAACTTTTCTTTGGTTCTAAAATGACGACAATATAAATCATTTACTTACAGAACAGAAATCGGCATATCCCTTAGCTATGAGATTTAACTGACTTTCAACTTCAGATCGCATTGTAGGTAATACCAGTTCCGAATCTATTTTCCAATAGCCATGTACAAGCGCAATGCCTAGTTTTGTTGGTTTTAAACGCCTTCTGGATTCAACCTAAAGGCTTGCAAGTAATTTGAAATTTGAGTTTGAAAGAAATACGTAAATTAGTAGATATTGAAACGCAGCATAAAAAGTATAAAATCGTATTTTAATTCGATAAAGCTTACAGTAACATAGTTCCGCTGACAAATATTGCTAATGTGAACGGGGATAGAAGCATCCGTCCCGATGCCATGTTTTTCCATTAATGAGATCAACTCTGACTCAGTGAGGTAATCCGGTGGAGTTGTTGCGTACTCACATATTTTTCCATCTCTTAAATCATCCTCTTTAGAAGTAAAATATTACGAAATGAATAAAAATTGATATGCTGAATTTTAACTCTACTTCCAAAGCCATAATATTAGGCATCTTTTCTTTTTTCAAACAAAAATTCAACTCCCTCTACTGTGATTTTCTACTATCCTACAAAGTCAAACAAAAATGTTCAATTATTCCATTACTAAAGAAGTTTGAATACATAATATCAGAATCAAAACTTACTTTAAATTGACCTTTGTGCCTTTGACTATATTATAATTTTGTGGGTCTTCCTCAATTTTTTGCCAGACCATAATTTCTGTATAACCCAAATTGATAATACACTTACTTTTTGCAATAAATACTTCGTTTGCGATATCGATTCTTGAAAAATTATATACTGCTTATGAATCACTTGAGACAGCAGAGTGGGATTGTGATATAAATTATAAAATGTAAAACTTACTTTACACTCGTGACAAGATATGTACAAGGTTTCATCAATGTTGCAATAAAGTGCTGTGCGATATAGTCGTATACTTTTAAAGCATCTAAACAAGTACAGCAATTAGGAAGTGAACTGATATTCTTGAATGACTTCATTTTGATTAATATTAATCCACAAAGTGCTTGAAAAGGTTTGTTTTGCAGGTCTGACAATTTTAAGGAGAAATTAAAGAAGTCAACCTCCAGTGAGTGAACCATCATTGCCACGCAAAGGTGATATCGGCGGATGGTCACCTTTATCTTCGCCATTACGAGGCGTTGTTATTCCTTCTGATAACAACTAAATTAAAAAAATCACACTATAATCCGTGTTTTTATAGCCACCATTCTATAATTAAGTAAGATGAAGTGACCTTTTTTACAATATCTTTCCAGCGAATATCGTTTTGTTGATGTCGCAAGGCTTCAGAAAAATCAAAATTTGAAGGATATGCTGTAGTTTCCGTTCGTGGATAACTTATAAAACCCTGAAAAACAAAAAGCAAGCTGCAATAAATACTACAATATTACCTACTCTTTGTGAAAATGATATAACCAAAGGTATAGGTGAAGTGAAAAAATCTTTGGTGATAACAATAATTTATCCACCCACTCCACAATTCAAACATGAAAAGGATCAACCCATCATTCTAAAAGAGTTTGCAATTTCTTTCTGTTAATTAGAAAAAAAAAAGAAAAAAACTTCACCAAGGAAAGTGGAAGTGAATTCAACCTTGTTTAATTAAATTTAGGCATATAATAAAAACCGTCAAAGGAATGAAGGCTATTAAAATAAGGAAAAATATACATACCCTAGTGTAAAGATATTCTGCGGTATTCATTGTTTGTGCTGGACTGAGACCTAGGCCACTGCTAGCAACCCTCAATAATTCAACAGTATTGAGAGCTTGTGGACGCTCTTTTCGGAACTCCGAACTGTCCACATCAACAACAACACCTTGGTTCTGCTTCTGAAAACCTGAGCAGTATGAATCATGATATGGAGCCTAAAAAACCCTCAAATGGAAATAACAATTATACTGTGTATCACATAAAAAGACGAGTTAAATAAGCAAGAAATAACAACATTCAAAGAAATAAAAATAAACGAACTTTGATTCGATCAAAGAACAGCTGACAAACATCTTTATCAAATATACGGCCTTTGGCATGAATCGGTTTTAAATTATCACCTGCTGAAGTTTCGAAGACTGTCTAAAACTTTCCCGCATATCAAAAATATGTTAACCATCTAAATTGAATAACGTGCAATATGAGTTCTAAAAAGAATGGAAACTTGGAAAAAAGGTACCTCTAAAACCCAGTATGACTCTGGCTCAAATTGCGTAATCAAATCATGGCGAGTTACACAGAATCCTAATGTTGGTGTCTGACATGGACCAAATGATATGGTTGTGCTATCAAGATTACCATATTTACCCTGAAATACGCAAAAAATTGTTCGGTAAATTGTCAGTCCATGCTTGTTCTCCTAAGGAATATAAATTAAGGGAATATATTAAGCTTTAACTGCACCATCAAAGAAAATTAACTTACAAAGTGCAAAAATTAAGACATTGCTAATCAATACCCATTAAATTGACTAAAAAACTAGAATGATTAAACACAATATAGCAGAATGATTACTTGGAAATATTGCGTTTGGAAGCGTGTGAAGGCACAACCGATCCTCAGATCTAATTCTTGACGCGCATCAACGGATAAACTTTCATTGATATTAGGACGACCAAGATTTCGCATTGCCGACTTAATATCTTTTGCAGTGATGGCTGAGAAATGCGCCCTGAAAAAAGTTTCATTTAGTTTGGAAAAGTTTCGTTAGAAAGGTTGCTTATTTGGTAATTTAAACCAGAAAACAGTTTGAAAACAAAGACAAAATATATACAAAGTTTCCTATTTTTAAAGAAGATCAAAAAATATACCTATAAATATTTCCCATAATATCTCCTGTTCTTGGCTTTTTATTGAATTTCTAACAGCTTCAACCACCTGCCAATTTAAGAAAATAGTAAAACCTTGGATTATTTTAGTTGAAAAGATAGCGCTAAATGTAAATACTATGTAACACTCATTAACATTTAACAATGTGTAACACTCATTAACACAGAAATGAATTTGATATCCTTTTTCTGAAAAGAAGATTGTGTAATGCTAATTCTAAAAGTCCAGACATTCTTCTATAAGAACTAAAATGCAGCTCCTCAGCATTGATTCCGAAAACTTCTAACCATATCTTTTCCCTGCTTATTAAGGAAAATGATTTCAAGAAGTGAAACCTACTATATTTGTCAAAACGAAAAAAAATTCACTCTGATCAATGTGTTTTCGAATTCCTAAATCCCCTCCACTAACCTTCCTTCACCTCCTCTTCCTCCTCCCATTTGAATGGAGCCCAATATTAAAGTTGATAGTGGCTAACAATACCGACAACCAGGAAATGCCTTTTGAGAAGACTAAATCTTATCCATTCACGTCTTTTGATTTTGCTTCCCTTGTTTATTCAACTTAACAGTTTGGTTTCAAATGGCTAACTGCGGAATGCGAGCATGGTGTGAGACCATTTCGATAATCCGGAAAAAGACTGAATACTATAAAACTAAGTACTCTGGAAAATTATCATTAAAAAAATCCAACTTCAAAGCAAATATTTTCGCCCTCTTTATCGCAATCCAACCATAATACCAGAAAATCACAACCTTTTGCTTCCGAAGCAAGATACTGCAAAAGTTACTTTGTTCAACGGAAAAGAACAACAAAAGGTTGTATTTTATATCAAAGAGTATTTTTAATTCTGAAAACTTCTAATCATATCTTTCCTTTATTCATTAAGGAAAATAACTTCAAGAAATGATATATTCGTCGTATTCGTCAAAACAAAAAAAGTCAAAAACTTCACTTTAAGGTATTTTTGAATTCTTACATTTCCTCCACTCGCCTTCTCCATCATCCATCCTTCCTCCCATTTGAATAGAACTCAGTATTAAAGGCAATGGCTATTATTAAAGGCGACAATGGCTATTAACAGCGACAACTAGTAAATGCATTTTCAGAAAATTAAGTAACCTCATTCATTCGCATTTTTGGATTTGCTTCCCTTTTCACGGTTGACGATGAAAACAACTGAACTGGATCGACTTTTTCCCAATTATTCATTTTTGAAGGAAAATCCAAAGACATTATGTGACCACAAGTACTTGTTACCTGAGATACAATTTTAATACTCACTTCCCATTTCAAATTCAGTTACAGGAAGGATTTGGAGTTGATATTGTCTTCCCATAAAGTATCAATAGGAAAATAAGAAAGGAATTTACCATATGAATGATAATTGACAAAAACCAAAAACATTAAAGCATTATATGATTTACCAGTAATCTTTATTTTCAACTAATATAAATTTACCTTGAATAGAGCTGACTGTCCTTGGAACTGTCCACAGTATTCGGAAACCGAACAAACATTGTTCCAACCTTTAGAAATAAAGGGAACTATTTTGGTTTTAAATAAGGAGAATGCGAGAAAAAATAGAAACAACAAACAACAATAGGAATAATGCAACAAAGCCTTCCAACATGGAAGAAGGATATAGAAATTCTATATTTTATCAGGTCTGGAAACGAAAGAATTGGAAATGGTACCAGCATAAAAGTAGCAAAAAAAGCAGGATAAGTATGACTTCCACCTTTTCTTTTCTCAACTTTTCCATCAGCAAGGATTTTTGCAATAGATTCAGCAAGCATCGGTTTTTCGGCCACCATCATTACCGTCAGCGGGGCCATATCCACCCCTATCCCGTTCCTCCTCCGCCAATCTCTAGACTGCAAACATGTCTGGTTACACCTCCTTAACAGTTACTATTCCGGTTTCTCATGAACTACTTGAATAACGATATAACAAAGTCCTCTAACATATTTCAACCCATGGATTGGCCCGGAATCTTCATTAACGAACGATCACACGCTTGGACTATTATTGCAAACAGGGAAGAACTGGCTACTGATAAAACTTAAAGCACTCCATGACTTGATAACATAATTTTCAAAATGCTTTAGCGACCAAGCGTTCGTCATGCATCCAATATTCTGGAACAAGAATTTATTGCCACCAAAAAAATTATGACTGCAAATTGCAACAAATCAAAATGAAACAATAGTGTTTTGAATTCAATGAGTAAATTACGAAATTCCAGGAGGAAATAGTATAATAAAGGAATTTACTTAAAAACTACAAATGAACACTTCCGTACACTGCTTTATATCGATGACAGTACTACTCGAGCTCGTAATTCATCATGAAATAACCACAATTGACATATGGAATGTTTTCTTGGCTATAATAAAGATTACCTAAGGATAGCACAAACAAGTATTTAGTCAATTAGTATCGCATAACAGAAGGAGAAATTTCTAAAAACAATGACACATAAGTACTCAATAATAAGTGTATGAATAACTACATCGCAAGGTAAACAATAATATGAGGAGCTGTTTCACTTTGGGGGCCATTCCATATCAACGCCCTCGACATCCAACTCAAGTATATCAACTTTACCACATTCAACTCCCAATAAATCAGCTAGTGATGGTCGAGTTCGACCAAAATCGCCGTGCACGAATTCTTTTACATAAGTTCCTGCTTGTGTTTCCATTCTGAAACAGTAAAATAACTCTTTGGAATTTCCTAAAAGAGATTCCAGGAATTTTCACCATGAGAGTAAAGCAATTAATCAGCAAAAAAATAAAACATTAGAAAAAACTTATCATTTGCAGCAACCATTATTATGTATACACAACAATTCTTTACTAATTCTAGCCTGAGAAGGACTGTCCAATAAATGAATATCAAAAATCTAATTCCTGAAACTGGCTACTTTCTATCAACATAATGTTCTTAAAGATAACTGGAACCAGCTAAGTGCTTTACGTAAGTTAACAAAAAAAGTAGGGCTACATCAAATTACAATAAACATAAGTTTCTGTTAACAAAAGTATGCTAACTGCGACTTGATGTACACTGGATAAGTTTGAACTTTTTATTTTTCAAATGTAGGCATTTTAGCTACTGCGTCATATTCCATAACTGAAAAAACGATTTGAGCTAAAAAAGGTCTCCATGTTACCTGACTAGGAAATGATAATCATCCAACTTGAGTGCTGCTATGAAAAATATCATCCTTCGTCTTTCGAGCAAGGGACGACGTTTCAGTACCCGCACAGGGGTTTTTTGAATCACTTCAATGGGTGCTTTATGATAAAGTTCTTTCAACGCAAAATCGTCAATTTTTCGTGTACTATAGCAGTAACCGGTGTATAACTTTCGCCTTTCTAAAACAAATATAGAGATTATGAAAGCGACTAAGGTAAGTTATAATTCTATATTATACAAATTTTCTCCAAACTATTTTTTCCAAATATCGTCAATACATAAAATTTGTTGAAGAGGCTTACCGTCTTGACCATTTTTTATCAGAGATGCTTGATCTGACGTGATCTGCTTCAAACCGGGAACAACTTTCACATCAAGACTTTTATTAATACTATCCTCCATACGTTTTAATGTGGTCTTCAAGTTATGTCTTTGGAACGAAAAAATTCTTTTGGGATTGATTAGCTGAAAAGAATCGATACCGATCGATACCGGTATACTTATATTCCAATTTACCTTAGGATTTTTGAAAAAACAAAACGAAAAAAACTATTACTTGCAACACAAATGGTCTTCCGTTACCGAGCATTCGTACATCAATATCTTCTCGTCCTGAAGCTACAAAACGTGCAACATCACATCCAGTTTCCTTGATAAATGGTGCCTCAAATTTCTCCGACACCTAAAACCACTGAATTTCATATCTAAATCTCCAAGACCTTTAGATTCTCTTTAATATTTGATGCATAAACTTACTGAGTGTCCAGTAATTTTCCTTATATTAGTTGAAGCTGACCATGGACTTTGAGACATGTTTCTGGAAAATTTGCAATATCGCCCGGCTATGAACAATGGACTACGTTCAAATGAAACTGTATAATAACATGGTGTCGAGGGTGACGCCATTTTGTAAGTCCTGCAATCTCCTTTTGAAGAATCAACAAATAAAAAGTACAGGATAAGATATGGAACTACATTTGTAACATTAAGATTTGATAATGACATAGGACAATGCTATAAGGTATATAACATCTCAGACTAGGTACCATATACTAGGATGAATATAATTCTCGGATTCAAATGCATACATTTGAGGTTGCGATTATCATGGATTTTTTTTTTCTATGGTTCTGGATGAAACATGAATATTATCACACAGCACCTAGTTCAAGCATATTGTTTTCTACTAAATTATAAAAGTACTTCTCTCACGGATACCAGTTAGTTCTCATGGTTACTTTAAATTAACAGAATAAAGTTGGAGTAAGTTATGTTTGAAATAATATGCTTGAGAAGTCAATGAGAACTTCCTTATGGTCCCTGATACCTTTATCAAAAACCCACACCGAACAAGTATCACATCACTACTCAAAAAAATATAAATAACCAAAAGCTATACAATGCATAGTCTCGACTCAGCTTGTGTGTCACGTTTGCAACCCGCACCTTTGTATACATTGACAAGAGTGTATCATCCACGCTAGCATATCTCAATCTTTTCCGCGATATTTGGAAATCACTGGGAAATTCCTTCATCAAATAATCAACATCGCTTTTGTTAAATTCGTTATTAACAAATGTAAAAGTTAGGGTCAAATCCGAATTCAATGATGGTGATAAACCAGTAGCCTGCAACGAGAAAAACAAACAAAAATCCACATAACAAAATAATGAAAACTTGTCTGGTACTGTGAACCTGATGAATTTGAACGGACGGTTTTTAATTGTAGTGCTGAATACACCAATTCTACAGACTGAGTAAGATTGCACCACTAACAAAACAAAGAACAAATTTTGAGAAAAAAAATACTGAACAAATAATCAAAAAAACTCAAAGCACTTCAAAAGTTAATAAAAAAAAAGAAAAAAAAGTTAGACGAACACTGCGAATCCTTTCCAAGTAGGTGTTGATAATGCGTAATTTAAAAGGAACCATAGAAAGCGTACCAAGTGATGATGGATCTCGATAAGCGAGTTCATATAATGATTCCCGAAGAATCGCTGTAACAGGCATATTGACTGCAAGTAAGAATGATTTCGAATCATAGCCACTGCTTTCGTATATTTTCTTTGCCTAAAAAATTAATTGCAGTTTAAAAGCATTTAATTAGCAGCCCAAAGAATCTCTACACCTACACAGAAGTTCTTCAAGTTTTTCGAAACTCATTTCATTCAAAAAATCTCGAAAGCTATGAAACGCGGCGAGAACTTCGCCATAATAGTCGAACAGACTTGATCAAGATTAGAATTTGATTTAATTCAGGCTTCAATTCACAATTAAACTGCAATACTTAGATATCAGCGTGCACGTACTATATAATAATACTTAAAGGAAGGCCTTACCTCAGCTACCACTTCGTCAGCAAACTTATCATCCAATACACCAAAACAAAGTGCACAACTGAACGGTTCTTCTACATTTCCACTTTCTTTCGATCCTCTCAAGTGTCGAGTGCAAACAGTGCAAAGGGGAATGAGGTCATCTGAGCTGCTGTCACACCTCATTTCTGTGGGCAGCTGTCAGTGGTCACACTCTTAATCTGCAGATTCCCAGTCACAGCTATCTGCCCACGGTTCGCATTCCAACTCTTAAAACACGCTAATGAGAATAGTGGCGATAAGGTGGTGTGAAAGATAATGTTGTACTTGGAGACGACGGAGAACAAACAGATCAGTAAGATTGTGTGCAGAGAATGATAAGAAAAATTGAAAATATAGACCATCCTGACGATCTCAGAGATTGGAAAGGAGATAGATGAAAAAGTCATGTAGGGGATAGCTGGCAACAAAAGATGCACAGCAGGTATGCCCCATAATCATGTGAAATGGAGTGATAGAGATCCCAAACAAAGCCATACTTTTTAGTTTTCACTCTATAGAAAGCGGTAAATATTTCACAAAATTGAAAAGGTGAAATTAGCATAATTAAGGGGACATATAAGAGATGACAGTGTGTCTTTTGCAGATTTTGTATTAGTGTGGAGATCGGTTGCTCTCTCTTTTATGGTTTGTTGAGAGAGGAACGGATGTGTTGGCCAAAGAAGAGAAAGGTGAGTTGTGTCCCCCCGGGGAATGAAGAGAGATAAAGAGGCAGGTCTACTTTCAACCTTCCACTGGGCTGGTGAAACCACTGGGTCCACTGGGATGGAATTCCTTCAGAAGAAAAAAAATCGTAGAGAAAGTTATTTTTTAACTCGAAAAGTGACGAGTTTCAGAAGCTATCCGTACCAGCTCCTCCTGTCCAGCAGTCCAAAGAGAAAGCCGCCCCTGGAAATCAAAATGTGCATCATTGGTTAATATTGTAATAAGACCTTTTCAAGGCAATTAAAATTGAAATTGGTAGGGAATTGGAATGGAAACTGTAAATACTGAGAGGAAAGAAATGAAGTTTGAAAACTGATGAAAATGAAAATCAAGACCGATGGTTAAAATTTCCAGGGAAATGAAAAAAAGAATAACAAGAAAATAAAAAGCAGGAGAAAGGACTTGAAGGAAGACGAGCATGTGAAGAAGACTAGTGAACCGGAAAAAAGTCGCAGTGAACCGGAAAAGAAATCAGGTGAGAAAGAGAAAAGCGAGAAAGAAAAAGAGGAGAGAGACAAAAAAGAGGCGGAGGAAGAAAAAAGAAGTGACAATGAAAAGAAGGAAAGTGATAGGGAAATCGGCGAGAAAGTCTCAGGGGTATCAATTCATTCGAACACCTTTGAAAGTATCAAACCAAATGGAAGGTTCCTTTGAACAGAATGTTGAACAGTCTAAGGAAATGTAGGTGAGAAATGTTTCGGAGAATGATTGAGTTACCCTGTTCATTTGGGATGGCTGTATATTTTGGAGTGGATTACAATCCAGTTAATTTCTTTTCTAGAAGAAGAAATTGGTGATAAAGGCTCCAACAGCAATTAAAAAGGCGGATGCTGGAGATCCACAGTATCAGGTTTGCTGAACTTTTCCGCAACCCTTTCAAAAGCATTTAAAATTATTTGCTTAAGAAAAGTGAGATGAATATTAATATGCAGACACTTGCTGGCTTAAATGATGAGGATTTGTTTGGCAAGGAGGATGAGCATAAGCCGAAAAAGAAGCTAGTTATAAAGGCACCAACCGATTTTAAGAAGGCAAAGGCTGAAGATCCAGAGTATCAGGTAGGTAATTTAATCTAGAGTGATGTTACTTGTTTTTACTGATCAACGAAATGGAACATTTTGAATACGGCAAATGAGAATGATTTAAATGAGTTAGACGAAACCGATCTTAGATTAGATTCAGGAAACTGAATTGCCTAGAGATTGGCAGTAGCAGGTTTGTTCGTCTTCACTTAAACACACTGTGTTCTCATAGCTTCATACAATTGTGTGATAGCTTGAATTCTTCAAAAAAAGAAAAAAACCCACCATTTGAAAGATGCACCAAAGAGCTTAGGTTGTTTTTCAGCTTCAAACTGATCATTATTCTATGCATTAACTTTTAACAGAATAACCGAAATTCTGCTTGAATAAAAAACGAACAAGAAACAGTACTGTTAATATTGCTTATTTTTCATGTCTCTTTTCTTCCACCTCTCCCAGTTTAGTCTCTTTATTACTTTTTCCCATCAAAAAAGAGAGAAAAACAACAAAACTATCCAACATTTTCAACTAGAAATTGTAAGTTTTCTCTTATATAGTCTGTTAGCTTTCCTGAATAAGATTTATTACATAAAAGTTTGTTAGGAAACTAATAAAAAAACTGAAAAATTTGTCCAATTTTCTCGCAAAAGCTATGATTTACCTTTGAAATAGTTTAACGACAAAAATAAAATGTTCGAGTTATCCGCTAAACAGTTTGAAGGAGAAACTGTAGGAATGAGAGTGCCCGAAAAACCAACTAACTTTCTTCAAAGGCTATCGTCTACTTTGCTGTATATCATCAGCTGCTCTCTCATACACAATTTTAGATTTGTAACTCTGAAAGCAGAAAAAAATCTAATGGTTAGTGGATTAACCAATGGCTTCTCTATTAGCGGTCTCCCTCTAATTCTTTTTATGGAGTTTAAAATGAATATTAAAGGAGAATGGAGTGGAGTTGTAGAAAGAAGTATACATTGGTATACATTTTGGTATACATTTTGCAGACACTTGCCGGTCTAAACAATGACTTGTTTGACATGGAATTCAACAAATGAAACAAAAAAAAAAACCGCAAATAAAGAGACCAAAAAAGCTCAACATATATGCGCAACGGATACGTTCGCAGAATTGAAGAAAGTCCTCGTTTGCGAATTCTGTTCTCTGCTGGTTGACTTATATCATTTTTTATATCGTGAAGACAAAATAGACATCCATAAGGTGTTTAAAATTGAAATAAAGTTCAGAATCGATTTAGCAAGTATAGATAGTCTGATGAATAAATTAGCCTTTCAATGCTTTCTGCCTTTATTATGGATATCATTTCGATCAGATCTTGTTCTGAAAAGACTTACCATGCTTCAATCTCTTAGTGCTGTGATTTCCCCTCCCTCTCTCCCCCGTGGCATTACTGAAAATGAATTGTTGTTTACTTGCGTGAATCTATGTGTTAATTAGCACTAAATTTCGTTCTTTATTGTGAAACTCGACAGTGCACATTTTTAAAACGTTAAGATGCTTCGAAAAAATTATGGAATAAAACTTTTGAATCATATTTGAGCGTAACTATTTCACTGGATGATACAACGGACGTTGTTCTAGTTTCGAATTTCTACCTACGCAGACGCCTAGCTAGCTTACACCTCTAACTAATTACTTATGGATCTGTTGGTGTTTATTAAATGAAAAAATATAGCTGGGAAAGTTTTAACACACACCAATCGTTATTAAAAATGCGTTCAGACGTAGGACTCTTCAATTAAAAAATATGACGTAAATGAACCTACGACTGGTGAAACACAAACATTTACATTACGGCAGTATCTAATTGAAACAGCCAGCATGTAATGTACTTCAAAATCATAACTGTACATATATATATATATATATATATGTAAAGTAACACATGTAAAGTAAAATCTTTTAACCTTTTAGCCTGATTAAATGTGACCATATTTTTTTGCATTTGATGGCATTGTAAGAAGACATGACAGATATGTATTGTAATATTCATTTGATGTTTGAAATACGAGGATCTTCCTCTTAGGAATTGAATTGTCAAGCGATATATATATATATATATATATATATATATATATATATATATATATATATATATATATAATATATATAT